TGCTAACCTCCTCTTGAAGACCTCCAGGGTAGGGGAGAGCACTACCTCCCTTGGGAGCCCATTCCAGACCTTGGCCACTCTAACTGTGAAGAAGTTCTTCCTAATGTCTAGTCTAAATCTGCTCTCCGCTAGCTTGTGGCCATTATTTCTTGTAACCCCCGGGGACGCCTTGGTGAATAAAACCTCACCAATTCCCTTCTGTGCCCCCGTGATGAACTTATAGGCAGCCACAAGGTCGCCTCTCAACCTTCTCTTGCGGAGGCTGAAGAGGTCCAGGTGCCCTAGTCTCTCCTCATAGGGCTTGGCCTGCAAGCCCCTCACCATATGAGTGGCCCTTCTCTGGACCCTCTCCAGGTTATCCACATCCCTCTTGAAGTGCGGCGCCCAAAACTGCATGCAGTATTCCAACTGCAGTCTGACCAGCGCCCGATAGAGGGGAAGTATCACCTCCTTGGATCTGTATCGTGCATCAGCAGATGCATGACGAAAAGTGCCATTAGCTTTTCTGATGGCTTCGTCACACTGTAGACTCATGTTCATCTTGGAGTCCACTAGGACTCCAAGATCCCTTTCCGCTTCTGTTCTACCAAGCAGGTCATTTTTGCAGTGTTATTAAGCTACTGTCCATTAAGTGTCTCATGTAGATGTGCCCACTGATAAGCTAGAGTAATTGGATGTCAAAATTAGCATATTAGTATACCCTAATCAGTTATAAGTCTCTTTCTTGCCTTAAAAATTCCTGCCTTCTCTCCGAAGTGGCCTAGACAAATGACTGTGTTCTTTTTTTGCTCCCTCAATGTCAAGAAATATACTGTCTCTACACAGACTTAATGATAAATGAGTATTTAGAGACCCATCTTTATAAATTATTGTGGTTGTATAGAAACTAATACTTTATGGATGGAGGGAAAATAATTACACAGGGTTGCATTCTTATCCACTACTGGCTTTAGATTAACATAGTCACAGACTCGAAAAATAATATCTGTTTGGAAAAAGTACTATGAATTATGTTGTATTCTTAGCTAAGCTGCTATTTTTAATTTTTATAAATGCCTGTGAGTTGAATAAAAATAAAGTATTGCATTCACATGTAAGACTTATGTAGGCCACTGTATTTTTGGAACATAAAGTAGGTTTTGATTCCACACCATCCCATTGTCTCCTATTTAATTAAAGTGATTTAGCTTTCAGTGTTTTTAAGTTTTTAATTATAACACTTTTTTGAAAAGTATAGGCTTACTGTAGAAGACAGGTCAGTCTTTAGATAGACCATATCATCTGCCCTGTAGTGG